AATTTGCATGAATCTCTTATCGATTTATTATCATTACAATATTTGTGCATTCTTTTACTTTTTTTTTCTTTTTAATAAAAATATTTTAATCATTTTATCGAAACAAAAGAAGTTAAATATTTTTTGACGAACGAATACATTAGCAGTGATGCCTGAAAACACTTTTTAATATCTCGTTTCAAATAATTTGCAAGAATCTCTTATCGATATTTGTTATCATTAGAACGTTCGGGTGTTCTTTTTTTTTATTAGAAAAATATTTTCGTCATTTTATCAAAGATTTTTTAATAACTCCTTTCAAATAATATTATTAATAATTTTCTATCATCAATTTATTACAAGAAATATATCGATATATTTCTTATTATTTATGAAAATATTTTAACTGATTATAATAATGCCATAAAAAAAACAAAAAAAAAAAAAGAAAACAGAAAAAATCAAAAAAAGGAAAAGAAAAAAATAGGATTAAATTATTATCGAAATGAAATGAATTTGAATGTTATTAAAAAATTTTGCAAAACAATATTCTTGATATTCATTTTCGCAAATATTATAATAACAATAATATAAAAAAAATTTTAATAAATAATTCGATATACATATTAATCCTTATAACAGATATTTAATTTTATTCATATTTCTCGATTAGTATATCTAATAGCTATATACGATATATAATAATGATATGTCTATTATTATCTTTATATCGAAATAAATCTTTTACATAGGATCGTAAAAAAAGTACGTTTAAAAAGAAAATTTGCCGATAATTCATTCGAATTAACAATAAATGGATTATTAAAAGCACTTTAATACTAATTGGATCGGGAAGATTTAATCGGATAAGTTCTCTAATTTCCTACAAGGAAGGACGACTAACGTAAGCAGTAATAACATAGTAAGTAGTAACGATCTTACATATATGTATATATATGTATACATACGTACATATATACATATATATATATATATATATATATATATATATATATGCACATACCTATACGTATGTAGGTAAGTATATGCATGTGATAAAGTACGAATGTGTAAAGTAGACTTTATTGCACCATTTCGTGGTAAATATACCTTGTTCTTTCAACGGCATGCTTCTAGTTGATCGTAAACCCAAATATAAGGGTAGTAAGATTATTATGCATTTTTAAGACACACCCAACATGGATTATTTGAGTGAATTTTCACACTCAGCTTTCGATATATCTAAACGTGCCACTTGTTGTTTTCTTTCTTTTTCTTTTTCTTTTCTTTTCTTTTCTTTTCTTTTCTTTTCTTTTCTTTTCTTTTTTCTCTAGAAAAAATCTTTCGACATACAACGAGATCTTTAAATTTTCTGCGATCGAACGTTTCGCGATTATTAATTATTTCATATTAGTTTATTAATAAAGGATAATTCTTTTTTTTTTCTATTGATATAACGACAATTAATATCGTATTGTTTGTTTTTATATTTTTATTTTATTATTAGATGCAAAAACTATTTCTCTCTCTCTCTCTCTCCCTCTCTCTCTCTCTCTCTCTCTCTTTCTCTTTTTTTGAGACACTTCGAAAAAATAAAATGAAATTAAATCTTACGATTTAATTTTGATTTGAACATATTCATACTATATTTAATAGATTACCTTTTGTAATTTGTATTTATTATACAATTTATTTTTATTTTATTATCAAACATGCAAAATCTTCTTTTATATTCTTTAACAAAATATTTTATGAAAAAATCGAACGCCTCAGAATTTTTATTATGTTTAATGTAATCCAGTTCTTTTTACAAAATCGTATTTATTTATTAAATTTTATAACACTTTTTATCTTGCTCGAAATATTTTATAAAATCAAATCAAATTAAATTCCTTTGATTTTCAATATTATTATAAATTATATTAATTCTCCTTTTAGAATTTTTATATTACTATATTACTATAATATATATATATATCATACATTTTATTTCATTATATATAGAATATAAAATTTTTGTCGATCCGTATGTGTTTGAAAATTTGACATTAAAAATTTCTTTTAAAAAAGAATAAGTATAATTCGTATTACGTACGACTATACGTGTATCTTGTCCACTTGTTCGATTATCGAGTCACTTCGACTACTTGCAATCCACTTTACTTTCCGTGTCCGATCAATGACGCTTTGACTACTCGTGCAGAAGACCCGTTTCATTCCGGGGAACGATTGTTAACAGAATCCAATGACAAAGTATGAAAGGATTATAATTTGATTTGAGATAATACAAATAAAATAAAATAAAAAATTAATTGATATTGGTATATATTTGAAATTTTATATAATATATATATATATATATATATATATATATATATATATTATATAAAATTTATATTATATTATATATAATATTATATATATATATAATAAATATTATAGTATATATACATTTTGTTATAACAAATTAAAAGATATATCTAAAAAAAAAAGAATAATATTTCAAATTATGATCGATTGTTGTTATTAAAAAAAAAAAATAAAAATAAAAAAAGGGTCAATAAAAAGACACGCTCGTTTCCCATTAAACAATCTTCTGAAAATTTTGTCGAACTATTTTTAAAATATTATTTAATTATTTATCATCATTTCTTTTTCTTTTCTTTTTTTTTTTGCAAGAAAAATTTACTTAGTAAAAAATTATTGGTATGGTCAATTAAAAGAAAGAAAAAAAAAAAAAAAGAAGAAGAAAGAACAAAGAAAGAAGAAGAATGAATACAAATAATCGTATAAAAAAAAAATTGCCAAAAAAAAGTACTATTGAAGTAATTCAATATGTTCAATGTGCATTCGATATATGTATGGGTAAAGTTTTTTTTTTTATTTTTTTTTTTTTTATTTTTATATATCAATTATTATATTCTAATAAATTCCTTTATTTTATTTATATACGTATTATTCTATATGTCTGAAATTATGTACATATATACATATATATATATATATACAAAGTGTGTTAAACTCAAATATTTCTTTATACGTATATTCGTTTCTTCGTTACATAACGCAATTCTTTTTAAAAAAAGACAAAAAGCTATTTTGAAATGTCGCTGGCAGATACGTTTATTAATCATGAGCATACGTAGCTTCGAGCAAAATACCAGGATACGTATGTACGTACTTAGATATATATATGTATATATCTATATATATATCTATATATATGTATATATCTATCTATCTATATATATATATATATATATATATATATATATATATATATATATATACATGCACATACATACATGCATACATGCATACGTTCGTAAAATGGTCGAGTCCATTTCTACAATCTCACATTGGCCAGATTGCATTTCTGAATTCCGCAATAAAACGTGAAAAAGATAATGGTGATTCGCTTTTAGGATCAGATTTTTTAATCTTCAAACGAGAAATTTTTATTGGAATTTGTAGAATTTATATTAAAAATTTAAATGATATAAAATGAAATAATGTGACAGTGGTACTATAAATACATTTTAGCAAATAAATTTTATTCAATTTAAGATATATTATTATCCAATCTATATAACAAGATATATCAAAGATATTTATGTGTTAACATTTAATGGAAGATAATATTAATTTTTAGTTAATAATAAAAGTATATATATATATATATATACTTTTTCTTTTTTTTGTTTCTTTTTGACTTTTTTATATTGTTACTCTACAAATAGAGATATTTATTTTTTAATTGATATAGATTTTATTTGATTCCATTCTTAAAAATTTGCAAGTTGATTTTTTAATGAAAAAGAATTTACTTTGTCAATATTAATTTTTATATTTAGTATAGTTTCTCATTCTCTCTCTCTCTCTCTCTCTCTCTCTCTCTCTCTCTCTCTCTCTCTCTCTCTCTCTCTCTCTCTCTCTCTCTCTCTCTCTCTCTCTCTCTCTCTCTCTCTCTCTCTCTCTCTCTCTCTCTCTCTCTCTCTCTCTCTCTCTCTCTCTCTCTCTCTCTCTCTCTCTCTCTCTCTCTCTCTCTCTTTCCTTCTCTCTCTCTATGGTATATTATTTATCCCCAAAAGGATACATTTTATTAAATTAAGATATATCTCTTATATTTTCTTGAAATTTAAAGAAAGTAAAAAGAAAACAAACAAACAAAAAAAAGAAATAATTAACAAATTAATCTAATCAAAAAGCATATTTTCAAATATTAAAATAATATTAAAAGAATATTTACAAATATAATTATTTTCTTATATCTTTTCCCATTATATTTTGTTTTATATTATTCATATTTAATAGATTTTCTAAATAAAAAAAAAAAAAGACTTCGTTCGATCCAATCAAATTATTAAAAATTTAAAAAGCTATATTCATATTTTTTTTAAAAGAATAATATTTATCAACTTCTCTCTCTCTCTCTCTCTCTTTCTCTCTTTTCTCTCTTTCTCTCTTTTTTCCCATCATTTTTCCATTAAATTTTCTATTATAATCTCAGAAATGTAATACAGACGATGGACTTGTCAGGAATCGATAATAATATTGCATCCTTGCTATTCCTTTAGACATATTCCTCTATAAATAGATTTATGATATAAAAGGATTATTTGATAACGATATATTGAAATGGAACAATTTGTTATTATGACTGTTATCTTGTCTGGTAATTTTAGTTAAACGAAATACAGCGTATTGCTTTGGATACATACGGTATATACGAATAATATATTCATTATCGATTTTATGAATAACATGAAAATAATTATCAATATATCTCGAATTTCATTACAAAGGTATAGTCAATTTATTAATATCTCTGACGATATTGATTATTAGTTATATTAATTAATCGCTTATATATTACGAAATAAATATTATAATAATAAAATAAAAGATATAAGTGTAATAAATGAACGATGACAGAGAATAAGAAATTTTTTTTCAATTTAAATGTTATTTATTTATAACATACGATCAGAGAATGTATCTATTATTATTATTATTACTATTATTATTATTATTATTATTATTATTATTATTACTATTATTATGTGAATATGTAATAAAATGTACAATGTATCCTTAAACATTAAGCATGTTCACACGTTAAAATACTATGATTCCGATAATATATCTTCAAGCGTTTTGTCGTCGTGTAATGGTGAATGTCCTAATGTAGGATCGCTTTCCAAAAACTCTCGGAGTTCAGATTCCAGATCGGGAACACCCGATGTCTCCGTCGTACTTAACAAAGACGGTGAGTTTTGATTGTGCGTAACACCGATTTGAATTTGATTCGGATTAACAATACTGATAGTTTGATTTTGTTGACTGTTTGGACTTAACAAACTCGTATTTGTAATAGGCGATGGCGGTGGTAACAAATTTGTTGGTACTTGATTGCCATTATTAGATTGTAACAATGTATTTTCCGTAACTATTGCTGGATTATGAGTAATTGGTTCAACTTCCATTGGTTCACCTCCAGCTAAAGGTGCTATACCCATTGCCCTACGTAATCCATCAACTGGTGCTATAGCTGACGGTGGAAGTTTCTTTGCTATTTCCGTAAGATTATCCGTAATCTTATCGGCTAGGGCAACTTCAGTTTCCGAGGCCTTTGGAACGTTCGATAAATGTGCTGGTGGAGGTGCCGAGAGACGATCGTGTTGTACTTGTTTCAAACGACCCAACATCTGCGAAGTATCGTCTAAACGACTTTGTAAGGTTGCACGATCCTCGCTGAACTTTAATTCCTCCTCTAAAATATTCAGAAATACGAACATATAAATTACATGTATCTATGTATATAAAATTTGAAAACTAAGTTTAATATATATTACGTAGATAAATAGATGGATAGAGAGAGAGAGAGAGGGAGGGGGAGGGGGAGGGAGAGAGAGAGAGAGAAATATGGAAGATAATTACCTAATTTTTCCAAAAAATTCATATCAATTCCCAATTCCGACAATGTTTTCAATTGATCGATATCCACACGAACTTTCTCAAATGACGGAATGTTTTTATTAATATCTTGCATAGGTTTCTCTAATAAATGTTTAATCTTTTCCTCTTCCTCTTTAAGCCTTCTTTTCTCTTCAAGAAACTTTTTCGTTTTTCTATGATCGCCACCAGTTAATATATCCAATAGATCGTCGACCATAGTTAATGTATAATCACAGTCTTTTGCAAAATCTAAAATAGATTCTGCGTACTGAACAGCGGTTTCATCACCGTAAGTCTGATAAACCAAATCAGTCTCTTCTTTAGTAAGATTAGCAAAAGTGGAATCGTAACTTGGAGCATAAGATCCAAATGCTCCATAATACAATGGCTTAACTGGTTTCGACATATTTCTTCTATCTTCTCTGAAACCGGCTAATGCACCAGTACCGTGATTCAATTTTCCTATTAATTGCCCTAACGATACTGGCCTTTGATTGGTACCAGGTATAACACCATCTCCAGGTACTATAATTTGTAAACTCGTAGTACCATCTTTTTTTTGTCTCAAAAATCCCATTTTAGAGTTTAAACGTTTTAAACTTAATTTATCTGCCGCCGATTTGGCAGCACCACGTGCTTGTTTAAGAATTTCTTCGGGTGTTAAATCGTCCGGTATAGCTTCGAATTTGCCCAAACTCGCCAATCTCATTTTTCTTTGATTTTCCTTTCGCAATTCTTCGGCCTCCTCGTTTCTTTCCTCTTGTTCTCTTTCTCTTTCAATTTGTTCCTCGGTAACAAGTACGTCTGGATTATTAGGATCTTCAACTCCTAATTCAAATCCAAGCTCCTCCTTTGATATATCATGCATGTACGTTAAAACGGGTCTTAACTGTCTAAGTTTTTCTGGAGTAACCATTTTTAATCCAACGTGTAACAATTTTTTGGCTGCCTTATAATATATAGTATCCTGATGATTATACGTAGTTGCGTTATTACACATGAGCTTAAAATCTTCTATAAATTCATTTAAATTTTGATAATTATTATCATCTATCTTTTGTTTTATAGTACTAAAATCCATCGGATTTGTTATTATTTGAGAATAACCAGGTGCAATACTATCGGTCACTGGCCAAGCGAAGAATTGTTGTGGATCACGCTTTTCCATTGACCTTAACAAATGTTCCAATAATCTTTGGAGTGGCGTACGCTCTGCTATTTTCCGAAGAACGCATGTTCTAGGCTCGCGATGTGGCGAGAGTGAACTAATTTGATTAGTAACATTGATTCTAGGTTCATTGCTCGATAAAGGTCTAGGAGATAACAATTGTTGATTTGGAATCTTCTTGGGTACCTCGACAAAACCTTCGTCCGCGTCGCCCACTGATTCCTGACTCGACTCTTCTCTACGTCTCTTTTTATCTTTGTGATGATGTTTGTGCCGTTTATCCTTTTTCTTCTTTTTCTTTTTAAGCTTCTTGTGACCCATGTACCTATCATATTCTGAGTCTCCTTGCGTGACAGAGTAATTTATACCTAGTTGCTGTTGGTAGTGCTGAGATAACATAATGCCTTGGCTTGGAGAATCGTTGCCGTATTCTGGAGTCCCACTGCTGCCTCCTACCTTTAAAATTAATTTTAAAGTAGGCGGTTTGTCCGTTGTCGTATATTGTCCTTCTGTTGACAAAATAGATGACCATTAAATAAAATGCAAACAATAAGATTTCAGGCATCCGGAAAGCTCTAACGTAAGCTATATGTAATTGACATGATATAACTAATGCATGCACAAATGGTGTAATTTGCAAAAAATCAAAGTGCAGGATAATAGCATAACTTAGCAGTATAAATGCTTTTCTATACGTCCTGTGTGTAATTCAACAGGACTGATTATAAAGTGCAATTGAAAAATTAATTAACTTCTACAGGGTATTAAAAAAAGGGAAAAGGGTTTTCATTCTAATAATTATATACAGATGGTTTTATAACAGGATAGTGACCTTGTTTTCACATTAACGAACTGGAAGCGAGATGGAAGTAGCTCAGTTTGAACTAAATAAATCTTAATAGAAATATATAATAAAATAATTTTCATTGTAACATAGACCGACCTATTTTGCAGGAACGGTGAGGAGGGAGTAATTATTATAATTGAAAATACATCTTAAAGGGCTAAAGCAAAGCAGTTACGGTCTTTAATACCGTAATACATAACAGCCAGGGAACTATGCGGTTGAAGTGCAACAGGTTTACTTTATTTTATCTTCTTATCGTAGAGTAATATCTTTTATCTTTTACGATATTTTCAGACAAGAGATCAATGATTTATCATTATCGATCTTGTTGCACTTCAACTTGTTTTAAAAGACAAAAATGGATAGGTTTGGGGTATTTAAATAACTTTGGAGCACAGCTAGCTTCTGTCGTGCAACCAGTCCATGTCTGTAGTTACACGTCACTTACTTCCACGTCGAGCCTGTCGTTGTGGAACCTTCGTTTATACTTTTGAATCCACCTCACTTCTACTCCAACCTCACTCTCAGTTTGTCCGTGGTGAAAACGTAGTCAAAATTCCTGTGCATCATTTTAACTATGAGTACGAGAAGGATTCCAATGAAAATAATAAGAAGATCAATTTGGCGTAGCTTCTAAGACTACATTTCTATTCCTCAAGGTAAATGCCTTCTTAAATCTAACACCCATTCCTTTAGAGCAACACCATCCACAGTTCAATGTTTTCATTTGAATCCTCGACTATGTACTTAAGATAGATATACAAAATTCTATCCACAACAGCATCTTTGAAATGCTGTAAAAATAATATAAGATACACACACACATATTTATATATATATATATATATATATATATATATATATATATATAAATGATGTAGAAAAATCATAAATGGGAACAATGTGCTTGACAGTGTGAATCGCTTTTATTTACTGTACAAAAGAAGAAGAATATTTTTATATAGGGAATAATAGGAAATAACAAATATTCTTCTTAACATAACAGAGAAGATAATTCCCAGATCGTGCAGTATACCTTTACCGTATACCTTTGTCTTTGCTACAATGATAACGCTTTAAACACTTGAATTTATAAAAACAATGTCACATTCTATATCATTCTAGTTGATGGAAAGTAGAGAGACCATGTCCGGTAAGAAGAAAAAAAAAAGGAAAAAAAAAAAAAGAAAAAAATGCATCATAATAAGAGATATACGGTGGCGTGCGATCAATAAATGAAATTTTTATATTCTTACGATAACAAACGCGTGGAGTATCACGGGATTTAGAAAGAAGTATAAGAAAATCGACGTCAATGTCATTTTTTTTTTTTTTTTTAGTCTTCGTTAAATAATCATCGTTATAATGTTGTATGCCATCCATACCGAATGACCGAATCTCACCTTCGTGCCTTTGTCGCTTATGTTTTTTGTGCTTCTTTGAACCCATGATTTGGCACGTTTGGCCACGGCCTTATTAGAAAATAGGTTATTACCGCGATAAATAAAAATTAACTTCCAAACGACATTAAAATGCAACTGACGAACATATTACACTCCTTTGGAAAAGTAAAGCGCAAACTGCGACCATCGAATACGTCACGCAGCAACTTTCCGAACCGTTATACACCACTATTATAATTATACTCAGGTAGGCTAGTATTGTTTCTTTGATTGGTCAACGTAAGAACATGGCGCTCGCTTCGTTAGAAACCGCGCGTAATTCAAATGTCTACAAATACCTTCGAACAATATAAAAGAGACAATAGACGATTGATCTTTAATTATTGTTCCATATTATTGTTAAATAATATCAAATATATCAGTGAAATTTTTATTAAGATCTTCGACAAAGATTTTCGTAATACATTTTTTTTTTTTTTTTTTTTTTAATATCTTTACATTATACAAAACGTCAATATACTAATAAATTTTTTTACCATTATCAAATAACATAACTTTTTCAATTTAACCATCGAATATTACAATTATTTAATATCACGAAACGGATTACGAAGAAATCTGATTTTCTTCGAAGGTCTTTGTATACGATTAGGAACGAAGCCTATGCGATGCGTCTTGTCTCATTAGTCGTTAACAATGCTTTAAGATTGATTTTAGATTTTTCCATGATAAAATATAATTCTTCGTACGTGTAAATTAACGTCCATTGATAATTTTGATTATTTCGTAATCGAATTAAAGATGTAAGATACGTCCTAACCTAGAAAATATATTTCGAAGCAATTCGTACTTATGTACAGTAAGCGAGAAACGAAAAATAGTAAACGTATATTCGCGATAACGTACGTTATATTCAAGATTATTTTACATTGTAACATTTTCAAAATGATTTAAGGTTAATATTGTTAAATATAAATAAATTTGTTGGGCTTACCTGTTACAAAGAGAAGCCGCACACCGACGATATACGATTAAAGAACGACAGCAATCAGCTGTTTCAGCGAAAATCCAACGAAAAGTAAGAAAGAGAAAGAAACACCATTAGTCTTGAGATAGTATTGGAACTATGTATTCGCGATGCAGAAAGTAATAAATACTACTTTGCGGAATGTCTACCGAATGGAATCGAGTAGAATCGAGTGAAATCGAGTTTTCTAGATGTGTCCGATTATTGCACATGCCACTTCGTGGATCTAAATACAATGTCGTTAAAAAGTCAAAGCTTTCATACTTCAATATCAATGTTTCCTGTTACATTTTAACAAACAAATCAAAATTTACTTTCGAAATTTTTTTTCCTTTTTTCAGATTTTTTTCTTTCCTATCTTTTTCTCCTTTTTTTCTTGTTTTTTCTTTTTTTTTTTCTTTCTTTTTTTTTTCTTTTCTTTATCGATAATTATAATTATTTTTTTTATAATGTTCAATCCAATTGCAATGAATTATTTACTGTATAATTATTACTTTCGTTCGATTCAGGCGTAACGTCGATGAGCTTTCACGAGTTCAATCGCGATACGAATACGTGTATTCGAAATTTAATGATAAAATTTAATACACAAGTACATATTACACCGTAGATAAAAGTATATCACATGTTCGCGGCAGAAATTACAACTATTGATTATAGTATTACGTATTTCTTTGAAGGACGTAATGATAATTTAAAAAAAAAGATCTGATATATATATATATATATATATGTATAATATGGATTATGCGAAAAAGAAGAACTTCCTGCATTCTGCTGCCACCTGGATCGTTTGAATGAACGACCAAACGAATAGAAATAAATGCGAACGAAAATGATTAATATCATTTGGAAAAAGAAAAAGAAAAAGGAGAAAGAGAAAAAAAAAGGAAGAAAGAAAAAAGTCGTATTCCAACTTGAATAAAAATTAAATCGATACGTGGACTCAGCGCAAAAAAAAGATTATCATCGCGATACGATTTATCTGAGTAATTATTTTCTCGAATAAAAATGACCGATAAAAGCGAGACGTATTAAAAGGAAAAAAGGCACCTCGAACTCCTCGATACGGCCCTGAGGAGAGGAGAATGACGCGCTTTTAAAAACGAAATATACAACGAAGCCGGTAAATGCTTACGGCACGTGTATACCCGTCCCCCACTACATTAAAATCAACAAATCATCGAACAAGAAATTACCCCACTACTAAGAATCGTGAGACATTCGTATACGCATTCGAGTACGTTCGGATGATTTCGGATAGATTCGCTTATACTCGGGCGCACTCGTCTACCGGTCCGAAAGCACGAGCTCGTCGCGTGCGTCGTCGTCGTCGTCGTCGTCGTCGCCACCTTCTTGTCGCGTCGTTGGTGCGTCGAATGCAAGAGAAAGAGAAAGAGAAAGAGAAAAAGAAAGAGAGAGAAAGAAAGAGAGAGAGAAACAAAAAGAAAGAGAGAGAAAAAGAGAGAGAGAAAGAGAGAGAGAGAGAGGGAAAGAAAGAAGGAGACGGACGAAAGAGAAGGAGAAAGAGAAAAAGGGAAAGAGAAAAAGAGAGTGAGAGTGAGCGCAGCGCGTAAAGCGCATTCATCGTTTTCATAGTAGTAGTGTTGTGTCGTAGCGCATAAGTCTCGTCGACTCATCCCTCTCATCCCGCGACCCGTCTCACCACCCTTACCATTCTCTTCCTTGCCGTCACTCTTTTCCACGCAAACCAATTTTACTTTATACACAGACACATTCAACATATATATCTATATATTTTATGTTGTGTGTATATGCACATGTATAGTATATATATATATGTGTATGTGTGATATGTATATATACATATATATATACACAACGGAAGACGCTCTATCGCCTCCCCTCCGCGCGACCGGCGGGAGTTAACGAACGGCGTGCGTTTAGCACGCGCTTCCCAGCTAGACTTCTCGTTAGTACGGTAAAAGAGGCTCGACTCTCTGCGTGTGTCGAACGAGACTTATCGTCGCCGTTCTTCTCATCGTCGTCGTCGTCCTTGTCGTCGTCGTCGTCGTCGTCGTCGTCGTCGTCGTCATTGTCGTCGTCATCCTCGTCGTCCTCGTTTTGTCGTCGTTTTGTCGTTATCCGTTATCGTGGCGTCGTCGCGAAAAGAGAAAAAGACAACAAAAAAAAAAAAGAAAAACAAAAAAAGAAAATTTACAATATCAAGAAAGCTTACGTTTTCGTCGTTACGATCTAATCGTCCTACCTTGTCCTACGTATTTACACGAACAATTACGGGAATGGACGAAAAGAGATAGGAGGAAGAATAAAGTAATTTTTGATATCTCTTCACTTTTCTCTGTCTCTCTCTCTCTCTCTCTCTCTCTCTCTCTCTCTCTCTCTCTCTCTCTCTCTCTCTCTCTCTCTCTCTCTCTTTCTTTTTCCTTTTTTTTTTACATCTACGTCTTCGTCTCGGTATCTTCCTTTTAGACCTTCTCTCTCTATCTCTCTTTTCTGTTTATTTTCCTTTTTTCTTTTTTGCTTTCACGTAAAAAAACGAACGAACGATACCGTGAATTCTCTGACAAAGTTTAACGTGAATTCGGGCAAAATTAATATTACTCATTTATCCTTATATTTTATATAAGTCATGTTCCGAACGAATCAATATTTTTAATTTGACGATTACGACGTGAAACGGCGAATTGATAAATCCTTCTTTATCGTCGTTTATCGGACGTTAAAGGAGGAAGAAAGTGTTGCGGCCTATTCGTCGTAACCGTTCGATATCGGAAGGGAAGAGGAGGAAATTTATTCCAGGTGGTAGAAAGGAGAAAAGTATTAAGAAAGGATATAAGATAAATAAAAGGAAGAGGAAGAAAGAAAGAAAGAGTGAGAGAGAGAGAAATATATATATATATATATATATATATATATATATATATCGTGGAATTATTAATCGAGACAATATTTTCATCGTTCTCTTCCTTCTCTCTCGTCTCATTTTTTTTCTTTTGTATACCAACATTACTTCAGCATCATTACTACCACTACTATAACTACCACCATCGTCATCATACTACCATCACCACCACCACCACACCAGCACCCCACCAATCCACCACCACCACCACCACCACTACCACTCTACTACTACTAGAATCAGCACCATTTCAGCGCTGTAGATTACTATCACTAACTAGTTACTACTATTTACCTACTCGTAAGACTCGTAACGACCGAAGTCTAACTAAAGGGGTAGTAGTGACGAGGCAAGAATGGAACGCTTCAGAGTTACGCCAGCAAATAATACGGCGCAGTATACTCAACCATTGCAACGATCTTCTATTCACGAACATGGTAAGTTAGTTTTACCACTTTGTTACAGACGATCTTATTAGAAACGCGTGGGTTCGTCGACCACGTGGTTGTATGTATTTACAACATTTTGTTTTTAAATTCTTTCAACATTTTTTTCATTTCCAAAGTCGTCCGATTCTCTTTCTCTTTCTCTCTCTCTCTCTCTCTCTCTCTCTCTCTCTCTCTCTCTCTCTCTTTCTCTTCTCGTATTTTCATCTCTCTGTCTCTCTGTCTCTCTTTTTCCCCATGTTTATCTCTATCTCTATGTCTAACGTGCGGACTACTCTTTTCTTCCATTTATTCGTCTTTGTCTCTCTTTCTGTGTTTGTCTGTCTGTCTCTCTCTCTCTCTCTTTCTTTCTCTCTTTCTCTCTCTCTCTCTCTCTCTCTCTCTCTCTCTCTCTCTCTCTCTTTCTATCTCTCTCTCGATCGTGCCGATGACGTTATTTCTTCAGGGGCTTTGACCCAGCACACTTCGACGCCTGATTTTCTTATGTGTCTGGCTCATGTCGCCAAAGACGGATCGATTATTCCATCGTCGAAAGCGAAATCGACTGGAATTCTTTCTACATGAATATATACCTATCTATGTATGTGTATATATATATATACATGTATGTATTTGAGAATTTTTATAATACGAGGACGTTATACGGATGTTGCCCTGTCATCATTTTGTTATGTCATTGAATCGTCGGCTAATGTTGCTAACTTTGCTGATTGTCGTTAAAGATAACGTCTATTTTCTTTTTTTCCTCTCTCTCTCTCTCTCACTAATCTTTTTTTTTTTTTTTTTTTTTTTTTGAGAGAGAGAGAGAATGTCAAGGGTTCGAAAACTTACGATCGGTATCTTTCTAATTCAATACGATTGAAAATTTGTTGTTTCTTATACGATAATTATAACGATTGAGATATTACGTTATTCTAATATAGCTAATTAGTTGCATATTTGATATCATAGTTCGGGTTTTTTTTTTTTTTCTATTATAATAATACTGACAAACCATGTCTATGTGTGTGTGTAGGTATTTAAAAAAAAAAAAAAGAAAAAGAAAAATAATTGTAGCTAAATAGCTACTTTTTTTTTCCCTTCTTTCTTCCTCCGGATGCTGTTGCAACTTGCAACTTGAGTAATATAAAAGAGATAAATTTGTCGATCGTCGTTCGCGCTAACTAACTCTAACATAACGTTTTTATTTTATTTTATTTCTTTTTTTTTTCTTCTCCTCCTCCTCTTCTTCTTCTTATACTCTTACGAAAGACTTGCAAATCGACTTAAGGCTGTTTCTTTATGCATCGAGTTAACCTTGAACATTGGAAATACCAACGAGTGACCCAAAAGTTAAACTCTTAATAATTTAACAAATTCCTTTTTCTTTTTTCTGTTCTTTTTTGGGAGGGGGTTGGGGGCGGGATGAAAGGGAGAATGGAGAAGGGCAATGAGATGAAGAATCGACGAAGTCATAAAGAATCGATCGACTTTGTAATTATCTGTACGTTAGTATGAATTTTTATCAAGGAATATCACATAATACGAGAGAGAGAGAGAGTGGTTGAGAGAGAGAGAGAGAGAGAGAGTGAGAAATATCTCTCTATGAGATAGTAAAGAGGAAACGAAGATCGTTAGACGAGATATAATGGCTCGTTGACACCACGATAAAAATGCACGATGTATTGCTTTAGAGTATACAAGATCGTTCGATCGGCAATAAGTAAAGGTTATGAGAACGATGATGATGCTTGGTCATCTTTATAAATGAAACGCATATATATATATATATTATATTTTATCGTTTGTCCGTATTATGTTTTTAAAGAACGCGAGCCTGAATCGTAGTTTTAAAGGATTTTATATTTAATAAAGATCACCGTCGACATCATTTTTCATCTAACGATACAACTAACGTCGCGATTTCTTTGTTCCTCGAAAAGGGCGAAGAAAGGGTGGATAGGGTCTCATTTCTATGGATATATATATATATATATATAGTATTCTCGTGAAGAGATTGAAAGTAAAAAAAGAGCAAGAGAAAAAAAATTAATGCGGACATTGAAAGACTCTATCGTAGATTTTGCGTTTCGTTAAAGAAACATCGTTAATCCTTCTGGGAAAAAAAAAAAAAAAAAAATTACTTCGTTATAATTAATTTCCTGTTATTTTCTTTTTGTCTTTGTCTTTTTTTTTTTTTTTTTTTTTTTTTTTTACTTAAGATTTTATTTAATTAAATTCTTCTATAATTTAGGAAA